AAAAAAAAGATAAAAAATCACTTAGATTTAAGATGAAATCGTCACAAATAAAGTGCACAAAAAGTGATTATTTAAATTTGCGATCTGAAACTCGCGTCGTAATAAAAATTCGGAATTTTCGAAATCACGTAGAAAAGCGGAAATAACTGTTTAAAAAAAATCATTTATATTTACGATAAATTCGGATTCAAGAAAGCGCGTTAAACGTACATTTACTAAAGAATCTGTTAAAATTGATTGTGTCAAAACGTGATGACTTTAAAATGCGATTAAAAATTGCCATTTTTTAAATTTCTTTTTATTGTGTTTAGAAACTCTCGCGGGCCGCACTTCAGTAGTCGAAGGGCCGCATTTGGCCCGCGGGCCGCAGGTTGTGCACCCATACATTAAGGTAAATATAAAGCAATGATAAGTAATAAAGAACAAAAAATAGCCATTTTTTAAAACAACAGCTTTTTTATAAATCATGAAAAAAATTGCATAACACACAAAGTTCCCAAACAAATTCAGAAATAAGATTACTTAACTTTTATTTTTCCTAGAAAATTTTTTAACAAAACTCTATGCAACATTCTAAGCAGACAAACAGCAGTCGTTTGTTTGTTGTTGTTTTTTTGTTTTTTTTGGTTCCATAATCTTAAGAAAGTTTCCCCATCTTAAGAAAGTTTTAGAAACTTTTTTATAGAAAATATCAAAAATTGCATTTTGTAAGAAACAGATTTTTCCCTAGGAGAAGATTTAACATTTAAATATGCAAAAGTAAAATAAAAATGGAACCAATATTTTGCAATAAAAAACTTGAAACGTAATATAGTTCAATTCATCCTTAATACATTTTACTAATGATAGAGAAAATTATTTGAAAAAAAAAATTTATTTAAAAAAACATTCAGTTCTCCAGCCAAAAAGAGGGGATGTCCAAATTAGTTTAGATTAGATAGCTACTGTTAAGAAGCAAAGCTTTTTAGCTAAGAAAATGTTCAGTCAATAGGTCACTAGATGCTTTTTTATTATCAGCTATCACTAGATACACAACACTACTTTTGATCATATTTTAAAAGTATCAAAAAAAAAGTTTGGTTTATTTTATTTTTAAAAAAAAATTTTGAAAAGAAGAATTTGTTATAAGTATTTTGTAGTGATTAATATTTTGATTTGAATAAATCTAAGAAATGTAAAATGTGGAAGCGAAAATCATACAAGAAATAATTGCAATTATTTTTATATTTATTTACAATGAACATTGATGCCTTACTGTTACCAAGAATTTAAAAATTTATTATTTTCCAGGTGTAGTTGCAGGTTTTTTTTGTACTTTGGCTAAGCGATTGCAATACTCACCGACTTTATTTGACAAAATCTAATTTCCTGACTCAGTTTGGAACACTAATAATATTTAGTGGTTCTTTGAAAACAAATTAAAATCCCCAAAATGATACTTTTACAGAAACTTCAAAAAAAATATATCATAAAATTTACAACAATACACAAGAAATTTTATACCATACCTTGCCATGAACATCGATTATCGCAACTGCTGCATCGAGCATATGTTTTCTAACTGTGGGATGCCTATCACCTAAGCCGTCAGGAACAAAAAAGGACATTAATGCCACCACTTGATTATGGCTCAAATGTTCTGCTAGCTTCCCAAGACATAACGCAATCCCACTTCTGGCTTCCCATTGGTCAGGAGGAGAGGTAGACACAACTCTATGCAAACTATCCAATACTGGAGGAGGCATCTGAAACACATCCATTGAAAGTTTAGTTTGTAATAATAATTCTAAAAAAAATATTTGATAAACATTATGAATTTTTAAAATAAAAATATTGAGTTAGCAACTAAGATTTTTTTCTTTCTTAATTATTTGAAAGTTTAAAGTGTGGTAGAAGTCCATTTTCCCTGCCATTTCCTTTGTTGCATAATATGAATTTTTACGCTAAAGTTGGTTTAATTGTTCTTCATTAAGCTCATCTATATGGCCAGAATAAAGAGCATCTTTGAGGTTAAAATTTCCACTTTTAAACTTGGTTTACAAATCTCAAAGGGTTCTTTAAAAGGCAAATGCTAATTTTTCTCTAATTGACATTCCATTTTAAGGATCTGAAAATTAACATAAATTAACTAGAACAAAAGAATATAGCATCGATATCAGTCGATCAAAACATCCTCTTTCGAATGATCTGGAACATTATGCCAAAGACATTTAATGATATGCAGAATATTATTAAATGTTTGAATATTAAAAAAAATGACAGTAACTTAATTATCAACCCAATATACTTATTCTGAGATTAATATATAAAGAGCATTAAGTAAATAAGATATCAAATCTGTATTCCAAAAGATCTTTTGCAGAATAAAATAAAGCCTTTTAAAGAATAAGATATTTTTAAATATAGTTTAAAAATACCATTCAATAGAAATTAAGACTGTTTTTCAAAAGATCCATTTTAACCAATAATTTGCTGTTATTAAAGCTGTTTATACAAAAAATATATTTTTAAGCATATAAACAACATAAAGTATATATGAAGATTGTTTTCCAAAGCCTCATCATGTAAAATGAAGCATTTTTGAGAATAATACATTTTGTTTTACCTATCTAGACTTCTAAACTGTTATTCATATACTTGAAGAGTAAATTTTTTTACGTAAAGTTTATGTCATTTTGATAATTACACAAAATTATTTTCAAAATTTCATAACTACTTACATATAGCTTTTCTTCATAAATTTTTAAAAGATCATCAATTGTGTCTTGTAAGTTTTCAGGAAATACTTTAAATAAAGCAGCAAGTGCATTCGCTGCACTTTGTCTCACTAGAACTTCCTTATGTACTATGTCTTTAAGTAATCGACGGCATAACTCTGGATGCTCAGCAAAACCTAAGTTATTCCATAATCTAATAAAGAAAAAAGAAATAAAGATCTTCTAAATTAGAAACAAAAGAGATTAAAAAAATCCTCTTTTAAAATAAACATAATGTTATTTTAATAATAACAATATGTTATTTTAACATATAATATTCATAATAACAACATGTTATTTTAAAAGGGGCCGACCACTCTCTGTTTCATAGAAAAATAGTCCTTAATGGAGGTCAGTTGTTCTTAGGGGCTACCTCAATTGACTTCAAAATGTTATTTTTGCAAACTGTTTACATTTTAGTCAGTGTCACTTTCTTGGTGCGGAAATGTCACCTGTGTTGGCGTCATGAAAACTGGATAGATGAATAAAACTTAGCATCAATAAAAATGATCCCTACTGATATAATTATGTGTAAAAACATATTTACCAATTATGTAAAAAAGAACTATTTTAATTAGATAAACAATTATGCTTTTGGCTTTAATTTAATATCATAAAAATTAATTAATTTTAATGCTTGTTTGTTTGAAGTGCTTAGTTTCTTCGAAAGTAACTTCTTTTTTTTCTAATTTAACTTTGAACTTTAAAAATAAGTCATTGATAGCATCGTCCTTAGTGGATTCAGATTGCAACAAGAAGTTGTAGATCTCTGTCAAAAATCATCAAAAAGGCAAATACATGAAATAATACATGAAAAGTAAATACAGGAAATCAAGAAAAAGTTAAATATGTGAAAGATAAACATACAAAATAATGATAATAAAAACAGCAATACTAAAAGAAGATTAAAGAGAAACTCATACTCTTTTGCTATTTTCTTATTTTGCTCTGCTTCATCATAACAAGCAACAAAAATTCTTTGCATAACATGCATACCATCTTCATAATCTGCATCGGGGGTCGGCAACACCATCTCAATTGCACTTAAACTCTAGAATGAAATGTAGAAACAAAAACAAAATTCAATAAACAAATAATAATGTAGATATTTAAAGGCAATTTATTTTTCTTCCTTTCCATTAAAATCATCTTGACAAGAAATAACTTCTTAATTCTCAAATGAAAGCTAAATGAAAACATTTTTCAATAGTCTTGAATAATCTTAGCTACCACTCATTTATTTTTTCCAGGCCATCAGAACCCTATATAAAGATTTCTAAACATTGCGGCTCCATATTCGTCGTGTTCCCTTGCACTGCCTCAAAATTTCCAAATCTTCCTCACTGATTCGCCGATTATCAGCTCTATATTGATTAATTTCACAGATGAACAGCTGACCCAATTTAGGGTTTACGACTACTAATGTTCAGTTTCGTAGCCTTGTAACTTTGAACCCAATCCAGAAGACAAGGGAACTCCAGGATCAAGTAATGGGAGAAATTTGCCTTTGTGGAGGACTTTTAGATGAAACTAACTCGCATTCGCGTTATACAGAGGGAAATCATGAAACCTCCCACGGTTAGCCTGACGGCAAAGGGTCTCTAACCCAGGGTCTGTCTACCAATCAGGATATTTTACATCAGCACTGTGGTAGGTGCAAGGCGAGTGCAGAATTTGAATCGACCAGCCATAGCTAAGATTCGAACTTGGTTTACCTCATTGGAAGGCAAGCACTTAATCCCGAGCCACCATGGCTCAAGAACAGATATATGAAAATCAGAAATAACTAGATGTCAGGTGAGTACAGTGAGTGTGGTAAGGTTTCTCTATCAACGGTTAGATTTTTTTTTTTTTTTAAATGCGTTTTTGATGGACAAAATGCGTATGTAAACATAAATTCAAGTGAATTTCTCACACTTACCATTAAGTATTTTCACTTATCAAACAAGTATTTTCTCCTCATATTTCACTGCAATTTTACCAGTCTAACATTTAATGGGAAAAAAAATTCAGATAGAGCATGAAAATTTTGCTCTCACCCAGCAATTATGTACTTATTTTTGCACCAATTAATTTCAGTTCACTTGCACATATTGATTTTTTAATGTGAATAACTCAAAAATCCTAGATACAAAAGTGAGTAATTGAATAAAATATATTTAAAAAGCAAAAATTCTACAATATTTCAAATTTAAGCAATTTTATAAAAACAGAAATAACTAAATTTGTACATTTTTGTCATTAATAAGGATTTTACAGTTACGAGATTCGTAAAATGAATGGTAAGAGAGAGAATGGCAGTGGAAATTAATACATTAATTTTTGATAATTATGATTATTGATATTTAATAATGAAAAAAGAATAAATCATGTATTCATTAGTAATTATGTATAAAACATTGAAAAAAACTAATTTACTGAAACAATAAATAACTTAATTGTAACAACTCACTTGCAAAGCAGACAGCCTGGCTTGCTCATCATTTAGAAAAAGAGCTGATAATAATATGTCGATTTCAGGCATTTCAGCAACAGAACAATTATCATCTCCTGATACAGCTTCAGCAGTTTTCAGTAAAGTTTTCATAGCTAAGGTCTAAAAATATCACATAAGATAGAGTAATAGTTGACAGTAATAAAAAATAATTCAACATTGTTCAATAAATTGCATTCATTGAAAGAAATAAAGTTTAATGATTAGTTTTAAAACAGGAAAGATGAATCACACATGTGAGTTCTTGACCATGATTTTTTTAAAGCACATGTAGGTTCTCAAAAACTGTTTTGGCAGTTACTTTTAAAGTTTTCATAAATAGGTTAACTGAACTTCACATTACACAATGTTAAAAATAGCAAGGTTTTTAAATGTATTTAATGGCATGCTAACAAAATTAAAATATAAAAATAATACTTTAAATATGAAAGAATTGGACAACTCAATTTAGCAAAAATTTTTGAACATATTGTGACCATATTGTGAGTAGCACTGAAAAATCTAAATTGCTCTCACATGACATCAATCTTTGCAAAACATTTAAAATTATATAATGTACTTTTAAAATTTACATTAAGATAATAATTAAATTATTGATACTAAATATTTTAAGTTTTATTTCAGTAGTTTTTATATGCTTTGAAAAGAGCAGGATAAAAAATTAAAAAAAATTTGCCAATTATAAACACTTTCTTATTAATTGTGCCTTTAACTAAATACTTTTAACTAACAAAAAGAATTTATAGTTTCTTAATATCAGCAAACTTAACAAAAATGTCTCATATGATAAATTGGCAACAATAAACTCGTAAGTCACTTTGAAAAAAAAAATCAAAATTGCTGGCACCTACCCTCAGTATTTATTAATTGATAGATTTATAGTCTTAGTTTAATAGTTTATATACATTTTAAGTGCAAGAAAAAATTTTTGTAGAGTGATTAATTTATGTAATATTACTATAGTGATTAATCATGTTACAGACCACCATGAATAACTTTTGATCTAATGATCGGATCTTTCCGTTCTAGGACTCATTCTTAATGGTTCAAAGAGGCGACTTCAAATATGCTAATTAATTAGCGCAGATGATATTTTACATAATAAAATCAGACATAAAAACGTACTTTCTCTGAATGAAGATACCCTTTTTACTACGGATTGGGATTTCTAACCCCTAATATATATGGGGTAGCTGCAATCTGGAAAATATGGTCCCAATAGTTTGGTCAGAAGAGCTTTCCGAAGTTAGGATCCCTTAATGCCAATTTTACATTTTGCCTATTTCGCCATATCTCAAGAAATTCTTAAGCGAATCAAAAATTTTTACACACAATAATAAAATTCTTTCACCCATAGCTAATTCCATGCAAAATATAACTTTTAGTATATATTTATTATTTTTCATTATTTTATTTAATCACATCCTATAAAAAATTTTGAATTATAAGGTATAAAACTTTCCACATAGTTTTAAAGAACGCAGGAAATTCATAAATTTTTCGACTACTGTAAAACAAACTAATAAAAAATTTTAAATATTTACTAAAAATTATTTTTTCCATGGAATTATCTTTGGCTAAATGAATTTTGAAATTGTGTGCAAAACTTTTCTAGAGATATGGCGAAATATGCAAGAAGTAAAAATAACATTAAGGGGTCATAACTTTAAAATGCTCTTCTGACCAAACTATTGGAACCATATTTACCAGATTACGGCAACCACCTATATTTTGGGGGCAGAAATCTCAATTCGTCAAAAAAAAAAAGGGTATGTATATACAGAGAAAGTACATTTTTCTGTCTGATTTCGTAACCTAAAATATCGACGGAACTAATTCCTTATCATATTTGAGGTCACCCCTTTGAACCTTTAAGATTGAATCCTATAACACGAAGATTTGGTCATTAGATCAAAAGTTATTTAGGGTGGTCAGTTTATTTTTTTGCGCACTGTACAATGATCACCTATATATTTTGGAAAATAGCCAAAAGAACCCTTTTTAACTTGTTGCAAGATATACACATTAAAATTTACAAAAAAAATTACTTTTAGTAGAAATAAAAATTTAAGCACAAGGGAAGATTAAGCACAATAAATAAATCCCAATTCCAAATATTTTTAAATTCATGCTTCTGTAATAAGAATAAGGTAAAGAATTAGATAAATGAAAAAGTTAAGACAAAAAATACCTGAATTTGGCCAGTAGTTTGGCAAATCACTTTGATAAGGACATCAAACATTGCTAAGGTTGGAACACACTCTTGATAAATCTGAAATTGGTACAAAGGCGATGAAAAGGATTTCACAAATTAAAATTTCAAAGGACTCTTAGATAAAGTTTTCATTAGAGTTACAGAAAATTCTCAGTGTCAAATTTTTTCCCAGATCATAGCTTTTATTTGAAATTTTCTCCAAAATTATAGCACTTTTTTTAGTTATACCATTTTCAAAATATTTCTAGTAAGTTTGTATTATATAAGAATTTTCCTAATATTTTTTTATGAAGAAAAAAAGTTCTTAAATAGGACTAGAGTTCTTAAATAAACTAGAATATGTATTGTTGTATTTTTCTTTTTACACCGTAAGTTGATGTGGAATGAGGAATTAGATTTTTTAATACGAAACAACATTTAAGGGAAACATATTTTTTACAGTTAAAAAATTTGCAGCAATTTTTTTTAATAAGAAATTGAATTTAAAGAACACAAATTTTTTAAGAAATTAAAAAAAATTTGTAGGTTTTTTTTTTTTTGTTTTTAATGAGACCAAAAATTTCACCCAAACCTTGTTCAAGCACATTTGTACACATTCTGCGCCCTTGGCTTTTACTTGAATCAGGTTTCAGCTCTTACGGAAAAAAAAGGACTTTAAAAATATAGATTTCATCCAAAGGGGAATATCAAATTTTCAACAATAAAATTAAAATAAATAAAATATTGACACAATATATAAAATATTTTTACATCTGAAAGTTAAAACTTCTATTTTTCGAGTTTAAAATATTTACTTTACATATTAAGAAAGTTTTTGTAAAAATATAACAATAAATAAGGAAACCATTAATTTCCTTATTTATCAGAAGAAATGCCCTTTCCTCATTAACCTTAAGAAATTCCTTTCTTAATTTAATTAAAAGTTCTATGTATGTATTACCTGATTTTTAAAAAATACTGCTTTAATAAATTAAATGCCTAATAAATAATACATTGAAACACATTTGGTGTTGAATGGTTTGTAATTAGTAATCGCTAATATTCCAGAATTTTCAGAGTGAACTGAATTTTTCTGAAAATTCCAGGGTTTCTCTGTTTGCAAAGAAAATGGCCACCATGTGTAGTTTAGCAAATAAGAAAAGAAAATTTCAATAAAAAAAATTTTCTGATATCTTTTAATTTTTTTTAAAAAAAAATAGTGATTTTTACCAACTTTGTTCCCCCCAACCCTAAAAACTGAGAATAAAAGAAACGGCCTACTTTATCAATAGATGTGTCGATGGCTCGGATTTCTGAATGCTCTCCTATGATAGACAAGATCTGTTCGAGCAATTCCATATTTGATGTTCGAGTCAAGAGCAGGCGCTGGAACAACGGGAAACAATATGAAAAACTAGGAGCACTCAAATGGTTTTGAGCTGTTTGGGATAGAAGTTGCTCATCATATCCAGAAGCTGCTGCAGCACACGTACTTAGGTACAGAAATTTGATTATTTTAGACACAATCTCATCAAGATCAATTTCAGTCCAGGATGGTTCAAGATCGCAAGCAGCAGTTATCAGTCTTAAGGTTGCATATGCAATCGGTTTTCCTATTTAAAAAAAAATCAGTATATAAATAAATAAGCACAATTATACAAACAAATCCCACTAAAAAAAAAAAACCATACCTATTAAATGCATTTTGAGAACAATATTTTCTAAATATTACACAAGTAAATGTCCCCAAAAAACATATATTTTGAATGCAATTTGAGAATGATATTTTCCAAATATTACACAGGTAAATGCTGCCAAAAAGGTAACCATACATATTAAATGTATTTTGAGAACAATATTTTTTAATTGGGATTGCAATGTTCTTGGTTCAACAAATGAATCAAAATAGCATAATTCTAAACAAAATAAACTAGAATTTTGAGGGAACTTGAATACAGCAATCAATGTGGAATTCTATCATACGCTTGAAAAAAAATTTGTAATATGTGAACAATGTTTAAGTTAATCGGTGTGTCAAAAATTTAATGAAAGTGAATAAAATTTAATTGAATTAATAATATCAAAATTGCTAGAAACAGTTAGTATTTAAAAATAATAGCAATTTTATCTACATAATCTTAATTTTAAAAAAAGGCTAACATCTTTGGTTATAACACTCTTTGCTATAAAACAGAAAATTGCAGAAATATACCTTTATATAAAGGAACAGGGCTTGAAATTTTTAATAGTGTATACTTGAGACCACTAAATTTGACTTGGAGTACGATGAAACAAATTATCAGTGGTTCTTTGATCTGGCAATCCCTATAAAGGGATGCTATGCTGTTTTGATATCTTGATTTTCAGAATATTGAATTTTGTTATAAAATAGCATATTGCATCACAATTCCTATTCTACATACTCTTTCTTTTTTTAATTCACTACATTAACTTTTTTTTATAAAAATATAACAGATCAGTGGAGTGTTTTACCTATTAGAAATATTTTTTAGCTACATCTTTGGATCAGTAATTGAATCTTTTTAATAACCACTAATATTGAATATGATAAAGTTTTTCACCTTTACATGTAAAAGTTCTATTCATAAGGTTTGCCTCACAATTCCAAGAAATAAAAAGCGTTGAAATGCATGATCAGTTGATTATAATAGAGAGCTAAATAAGAAATTAATTTAAGGTGTAAACATGTAGTTTATAAGAAATAGAAGAAGGCTAACTACAAGCCTGAAAGTAATAAACCTCATTGAAATTATCAGAATAAGAAAATATTTCAGCATTTTTAGAATAAATATACTAAACTTCAGATGAATTTATATCTGTGAGAAAAATATTATCTGTAAGTCATATTGAAAAACAAACAGTAAATAACAACATACCCCATGTAAGAAGAACACCAGCTGAAACCACATGTGACAGGTTCACATACATGTGTGTTGCTCTGTAGGCACATAAGGGAGATGAAAACAGATTAATTAAGGTAGAGGTCAAGTCTTTAATGTAGAAACCTAATGCTGTTGCATTTGCATCAATTAAAGTCTGAAGTTTATCTAAGGCACGCTGGAAACGACTATCTATCTGCAAAATAAATTCATAATCAATTGTAAACATTTCCAATATTCTTATAAACGTAATTTTTATTTGATTTTAAATGGAATATAAAGATCATTTGTCTGTATTTGGAGATTAGAATATTTTTCAAAGAATACAAACATTCTGCTGTTGTAATTCATGAAATATTTAAGGGGAATCTTACAACTTGACTTAGAAGATTTTCATCATAATATGATGAAAATATATATCAATATTGTTACTAATCAATTTTTTTCTTGTATTAATCACAGTAAAAAAATTCTATTTAAAAAAAAAGAGGGAATTATTTTTTACTTCTTTTATATTGGCTCTAATTACAGCTTCTTTCTCAAGTTGAGCCTTCTTAGCTTCCAGTTGTTTCTTAGTCAGTTCTGGCTCTTTTGTCATACCTTTGGCTCTCTTCTTAGCTTCAATTTCCTGTTAAATGTAAAATAGAACAAATAATTATTGTGCATATACATATTTAGCTGCACAGCAGTATTTTTCTACTTTTCAATAAGTGAAACAAGATGAAATATTTATGACGTAACAAAATTCATATAATTTTTCGCCTTTCCCCCCACCATTGTTCTGTTTCCTGTTAATTGAAATTTGAAAAAATATTTATCACGAGAGAATATAGCTGTTATTACATTCCAGTTTCTTAAATAAAATAAGAACAAAAATATGCCCCATAATTTTTATATCATTTTCAACTGCTCGCCCACCATTGTGTTTTGCTTCTTGTAAATTACAACAAGACTATATTGAATAACAACTTTTACCTGCTACCACTTATCGTTTTAGTTTCTTAAATGGAATAGGAACAAATATTTATAACATAAAAATTTTTTAACTATTTTGAGCTGCACTTATCAAATATGTACAATTAAGTAAGAGTATTACAAATACAGCATTATTGAGTAGACTAATACTAAATAAAAAAGAACATTACCACCATCAAGACTAAAGAAAGTTTCTATCATTGAAATATAATAACTGACTGACTGAGAATGAGGTTAATATGATCAGGAAAAATTATCTGCTTTGAATAATGAAATAAATTAAGTTATATTTAGGTTGCAATGATTGAAGTAAACACTATTCATACCCCTTTATCCTTTATCTTTTCTTTTTCTTTACATTAAATTGACTTACTCTGTTAAGCTCTAATGAAATCAGACTAGGTAGAAAAATGTTTCAGATTTTTTTAACATTAGACTAACTGAAATAAACATAAACATTTAAATTTTATATTTTAATGAAAACAAAACCCTGAAAAAATGTCAACATTGTGATCAATATTAAAGTTTTCATTAATGTTTCATTGAGGATTCTTATTTGCTGAACAAGCTAGAATTTTTATTTGTTCTAATTATTGTGCATATCATATTAACCTCAAAACAAACACCTTAAATAAATCCTTTCACATTGAAAAAAATTTCTAATTAGCACTTTTACTATTAAAATATTAAGTACCATAAAATACTGATAAAGCCCCCACACAAATTTTGTCAAAAAACATGCATTTTCATGAGGTAGCAGTTAAAAAAACACTAATTGAAATAGGTCAAACTACATGTTTGATATGATTTACTTCAAAAACATAAATAATCCTAATGACTGGAAAGAAAGATAATATGAAAAGATTCGCTTCTCTGAAAATGAGAGCAAACTATACACACTCCTTTTAAACCAGTTTTTCCCCATCACTCTTACAGGGTTGCCACTCAAATCTGGAAAAAAAATTCCCTGTCTTTTCCCTGTACATATTATACGTAACATATTAAGAGGAAACACGTCAATTATTAAGATCTTGTGTGAGCTATATTGGGGTAACTATATTTATTAGTTTTAATTGCTTGAAAAACTTAGAGGAAAAAAAAAGAACAGCTGAACATATTTAAATAATGCTATAACAAATTAAATAGTTTAGTGTAGCTGAAATATCAAGCATAAACATCCCATATATTAAGCTTTCAGTGGTCACCATTTTTTAAAAGACGAAAATAAGAAACAAAATTCCCAGTATTTTCCCAGCTTGCAAAGAAAGAATTAAAATTCCCTGTCCTTTCCCTGCTATTTTAGGTGATTTTTAAATTCCCTGCACTTTCCAGGTTTTCTCTATTCTCCCTGTGGAGTGGCAACAATGTCTTAAAAAGCAAAGCTTTTCTCTTTCCTTTCCCTAGTTATTGCACACATCTATTCTCTTCCTCCCTCTCTCACTTACATCATTAAGCAGGAAGGAAATAGGTAATTTTCGCTTCTCTGGAATTGAGAGAAAAAGGCCCCTTTGCACTAAAGCAGTTTTTTCATCATTCCCTTAAATAATTCTAAGAAAGTAAAACTCTTTCTTTACTTTGTATTATTCAATTTCCCTACACTCTTTCGTCCCTCGTCAATCATTTTTCATTTCATCTTTATTAACCTGTGAGGCAATGCTTCAATTTCAGCTTGACATAATCTGCTAACAATAACGTGATGTGAAATGGGTGCTTATTTAGTATTGATCGCTTCTGCAAATTTGTTAGAAATTGCACAGGATGTTCGATCAAGTCAAGTTCGGGCATCTGTTAGGTATATTACAACATAGCAAAAATATATGCATGCATCACAACTACTAAAATTTAAATAAAACTAAAAATTAAAAGACTAAATGTTCAAAATGCAATAAATTTTTTGACTAGCATGTTCCTCAACAAAACAACGCAGTTTCTGTCATGTTACAATAAAAATAATCAAGAAAAACATTCTTAGAATTTTGTTCATTTTTGAAGCATAAAATAGTTAAATATAAATAAGGAAGTTAATAATTTAATGATAATATTTTTGCTTAAAAAAAAATCACCAAAATTAAAGTAATTAGATCGTTAGAAAAAACCTTTTAACTCACCTTTTTTAGTTCAATTTCCTCCATCTGTTCTTTGTAGGAGTAAAGCTTACTTTCCCTCTTGATATTCTTATTGATATTTGTGTGCTCTTTTAAACTGTAAAAAAACAAATAAAAAAACTATTTAAGCTTCAATGAATATGTTGCTATGTATTTTTACTTTAACTAATGAAGTAAATTGTTTGCTGTCAAATTAACTTGGAAGAAAAATCAATTAAATAGAAAAATTTATTAACATTAAGTTACAAAGGAAATTTCAAAAATAAGGTTCTTTTTTGTAGAAATACAAAAAATTAAAATAATATTTACATTATTTTAAAAGGTTAAATGTCTATTTTTACACATAAGTGGTCAATACATTTCGAAGTACTCTTGACAGTTTTTGTATGCCTTTGTTATACCAGCTCCCTACCAAATCCTTCAGATAGGTGACCATTACTTTTCACCTCATTATCAAAAAATGATTTGTATTTAACTATTTTAAGTTCAGGTAGGTCAATTATATGCTGTTTGAAATATTGACAAAGATATGAAGCACTGATAAAAAAGAACAAAGTGACAACCATTCAATTAAAATTTCAATACTTTTTTATAATTATTTCAAGTAAGTCGAATATAAATTTTAGCAATACAAAGAATCAAACTCTTAGTACTGTAACGAATGTAAATGGAATTGAGAACTGTCGTTAAGTTGATTAAATGATGCCTAAACTAAAACTGACTCAAAATGAAATGGCAGAAAGATCATCAAGGTTCATTAAAGTGGAGAGGGTATATGAAGATTTCTGATTAAAGGCGATTAGCGCAAAAAAAAATTCAGCTACTAGAGTAAATTAATTTGATTGACAAAATCTTTAAACTATTATCAAATGAATGATAATACAAATCTGGTAAACCTTGGAAATTAAAAGGCTCTGAAACTTATCAAACCACAGCATAGCATAAGGAAAAAAGGATTAAAGAAAATAAAAAAATTGATTATTTTTTTTTAAATGTTACATAAAAGCTTTTCTGAAACTGTTTCTGCCAGTCAATTAAGTTTGTTCAGAGAAAGATCAGAAGTCAGGAGTTTTGCTGTTCTAAATATTCTCTCGCACATCACATCACTAAGGAGAAAGGTTAATGCCACCAGTTTTAACTTTGTCAATAGTCTGCAGGCATTACTTTTCTTGCTACTGGTTTTACAGGATCAATATAAATAAAATTTGTATTGATACGATCAAAAGAAAAAGGAGAAAAAAACAATTTTTGAAATATCTCTGCACTATAAAGCACAGAACTGAGTCTAAAATATCAAGAAATGAGCTTTGTCATGTTTTTCTTTTCTAATATAGAAAAACTATCAACAAGAGTCTAGTGCCTTAGAGAGAAACAAATGAAACATTACCCTAAATTAATTATTAATTAAATTAATTAGCTAATTTGACTTTTACAGGATGAATGAAGATAATTATTCTTTTTTGGTTCATCAGACATTTCAAAAAGGAATTTAGGATAAACCAAATACACTCCATACAGATCTGCCAACTCATATATTTATTATGAAGAAAAAAATGAGAAAATACTTTGGTGGCCTGAGGTCCACCAAAGCCTGAGAGTTGACAATTCTGGCTAATATATTGTAAAAACATGAATTTATGAAATGAATTGAAAACTAAAACTAGAACTGGTTCCAAAAAAAAATTGCTTACTTTTCAATGACAGATGCATCATATAGTTCTCCATCAGGAGTAAGGAATATATGGTACTCTTCTTTAGTGACAAGCCCAAATGCATTGTCTTTTAGTAAATTAATTGTGAAGGAAACAATAGCAGGAACAATTTCTTTGGGTTGTAACTGCACTAACGTTTTTAATACATTCAATTTGGCCTGAAATAAATCAAAACTGTAAGAAATAGACAATCACTTTGAAATAAAACTAAAAAATTAACAATTTACATTCAGAAAGGAGTGTAAAAAAATATTTTAATCATATGAAGTAACAATAATATAAGATCCTAAAGTTTAAAGTTCCCTTTTTACATGAAGCATCAAAACCATTTCTTTGAATGAATTTAAATACTATAATTTATTTTGCATATTTAGGGAGAGAAATTTTAATTGGTATAATAGAACATGAAAAAAAAAGATATTAAATGTAAACAAAAAAAGAAACTATTTACCAAAGTGCATTTCTAATTTGTAGAGATTACAACATTAGTGCACAAAAATTACTCTGATGGCAAAATCACCAATTAGAAATTTTTAAAAAAATGTCTAAAAATTTCAGTGAATGTATGTGGAAAAAAAAGTAAACAAAATAAAACATTGAACTCTGCCCAAATGAAAATACTTCAGCCCTTTGCTTTTTGGATACCAGAGATTTCGTAGACTTGTAACAATTGAGATTATTTTAAAATAAAAATGCACTAATTATCCAATGCATTTGACAAATAACATGTAAATTAAACACAAATACAACATATATCAATTTGTAATTAATATTAAAAATAAAAAGCAACAAAAAAAATCATTGCCTTACCTGTGCAATATTTTCTGAATTGTTATCATCTATGACTAAATCAACTACCTCATCTTTTTTCAATTTTAAATATTCTGCAGGTTTTTGATGTAATTTTGTAGCTATCTTTTGCCACAGAGAAGAATTCGACTGATCTAAAAAAACAAAAGAAAAGAACTTAAAAATTTAAAAAATTTAACTTGAAATTTAAAAAAAATTATTAGAATTTACAATAGTTTAAAAAAAATATGGACCTCAAATTTAAACCACACTATAAAATTATATATTTCCCCTGAAAAAATAGTTATGTGCAAATTTCTAGAAAAATTAAGATAAAAAAATTTTAAAAATTGTTTTTGCAATATAATAGGGAAACAACAAAATTGGATCATTATGGAAAAATAAAACTTTATGGTAAAATGCAATTTTATAATACATTTTTAAACCACAAAATTATTTAAATATATATCATCAGTGGGTACAACAAACTAAAATCAAATTCCTGCTGTACATTTTGAAAGTTGTTTTCGTTTTGTTAGCATTCTGTTTGTTCTAATAATAAATTTAAATGATAAAAAAAAAAACATTCGATGTTTGTAAGTAATTACTTTATACCTCAGGGTCAGAGCTAAGGATTTAAAATTATTAACCAGTAAATAAGCCAAATATCAAAAGTATTTGCGTAGTTTCGAAACTCTTCGTCAAATGCCACAATTTTTTATAATTAATTTTTTCCCATAGAAAACTATTTTATCGTAATTTGTTTCAGGCTTATATTATTTGGACTCAATTCTATACTGCACATCTACCAAAAATTACTGTAATCGAATAATAAAATTCTGATTTGTTTAGAAAAATTCATTTTGATGTAATTTTAATTTCCTACCAGTGGAAAAAATTATTCACCGATACTTTTGCAAAAACACAATTTTATTTGCCAAATTTACGATTTTATCGCATTTGGCAAGGTGTCGATTGCTTAACACGGGCCCTGCATCTTATATAGAAATTTAAACAAAAACAGCAAGGCAATAAATAAAACCTGTAATATTTTTAACCTATTAATATCTCTTAAAAAAATTACATCTCAAGAACAATTCAAAGGGAATAAAAAAATTATAAAACGACATCTTTCGCCTGTCACAAACAACCAAAGTTGTGAAGCATTAAAAAAAAAAACTGACGACAGAAAAAAATATAATTTGAAAATAAATAATTAATGAAATACTGAGGTGGACTTGATCATTTTTTAATAATTTATGAAGATAAAAATATTAATTCAATAAAAATTAAAATATGACTTACAGATAACATCTAAATGTGAGGGAATCAGACAATCCATACAAATTTGATGGACTTCTTGTTCATCTAAATTGGATCCACTGCACAAAGCAAATAAACAACTCTGAAGAACTTGAACATTAACATCCCCATTGTCAGACTCTGCCTCTTGGTCATCATTCTTAGATGGTTTCTGAAGTATAAATAGAACAGTGTGAAAAGCACTCATTAATGTGAAACAGTCCACCATTATTTCAATTGCAATACACATATAGTGAATATAGATATCAAAAGCAAACCTATCATTCCTCATTTCTCTAAAATTTAGAAGATTTACAGCAAAATTACTCAAGATTTTATGTGCTTTCAATTTTTATTCCTTATACAAAGAATTATTTAGTGTTTTACAAGTGGAATAAAGTGCTCCACCATCAGTTCAAGTACATCTAAAATACTCCTTTTCTTGTACTATTTTTTTTCAACATTTTATATTTTGCATTAATTTACAATTTATAACAATTAGACTGAAGCACAACAACAACGCAAAATGTCTTAGTCTGAGCAAGACAAAAAAACCTATCCTCACACACGGATATACATTTACCGGCCATATTATAATAATTAGACCAAATTATTATACGCACTGTAGTTTAATATTACATGTTTTGCTCGAATTTACATGTGATACTTTTATATTTAAACATGCATTCAACGAATGTAAACAAGTGCAAATCAGTTTCAGTCACGTAAAGAGAATAAAGCTGTATAATATCACCTGATAATTAAGATTTTAAATAGAATCTTATAGTGCGTCTAATAATTTGGCCAGAAACTGTATATACACATAGACAGACAGTGGAACTCTGATTTTACGTTTTCTGCCGGAGTAGCACGAAGCAGGATAATGTAAAATCGGGATAAAAAAGAAATAAGTATATTTTTCATAAATTTACTCTGATGAGATGAACTAATTGAAAAGAATTTATTTGTTTCCACTCCAATAGAAATTTTTTGTATTGAAACTAATAAAAATACTTTTATTTAGTCACAAACATGTAATGCAAGTAACAAAATGGCATATTTTGATCACAATCAGCGTTATTTAAAAAAATTCCTTTTTCAATCAACAAATACTGAATTACAATTAAAAGCATAAATACCGGCAAAATATAACTCAGTTTGCCTCACAATCGACAGTATACTAACTAAGCTAGAGGAAACTTGATGCCAGTTTGTTCCGAATTGAGATTGCTAAAATTTTATTTTGAAAATAATAAGCCTAATTAGATGTGTATTTTAGCTTTTTCAACAAAGTAATATTCATTGAACAAAATAAGCAGATGCTATACATACACTAAAATTATAAAAAATCCTCCTTTATAAAAGAGTTAGGGTCAAAAAAATATACCTACAAAAATTCTATAAGTTATTCCTTCACAAATACATTAAAAACATAATGATTGAGAAAATAACAAAAACAAGTAACATTTAAACTTTAAAGTTCATTTACTCAAAATCACTAAAATGTCAATAACCTGCTTCTTCCAATAAGCTCTACATTGATAAAATGATATTAATAGCTATTGTTTTTTTTTTTTTACAAAATGAAAATAAATTAAGATAGCACAAGATGGGTAATGAAAGAATTGAAGCAGAATAATATTTTTACTTTAATTTTAACAGTCTCCAGGAATGACGGAAATTCTTTGAGTAAGGCGCAAGCCAATCGAGTTCCACCCAAGGCAGAGAGCATCTTTTTTAGGTGTCCAGATGCTTGCATTCGAATCTTAAACGTTGGTCTTGTGAGTATGAAAAGAATTGCTCTCATAAGAAGGCTGGAAAAAATAATGCATATTTGTTAATCACTGATTTTAAATTTAAGTTAAAGGGTTCTATGAGTGACTTTTTTTCCCTTCATATTTAGGAGAGGTTTTCAAACCGTTTAAAATTAAAAATTGTCTTACATTAAAAGAGTAACTGAGATGCATGTAATATAAAAAATATGAAAAACATTTATGACAGATAATTAATTTTATTTGTTAAAAGTCTTACTTAGATTCTTCTTTAAATCCATGTCCATGCTCCATAACTAATTTTTCAATAACATACATCACAGATAAAAGAACTGAAAAGTCAGAGAAAATTCTATTAATCATTCTTCAAAATATTTAACATGAATATAATGATAGTAAAAATGCTATAAAAGAAAATTATGAATCATAATTATATTATGGCTGTTGTCCTGTTAAACACTTGATAGCTAACATGTATATGGCTAATCCTCGAAATTTGATGTAGTCCGATATACTCCATTAGATCATTGACAAATAGAAAATCCAGAACGGACAGGGAATCAACTGTTAAATCACTTCTAGTTAGTCCAGTATAGGCTCAGGTGAAGCAAAATTAGGTATTGCCTTTGGTAATATCTGTTTAGAGCCCTTGAAAGAGGCACTAACAAAGACTGCTTACAAACCCGGCCAGAGCAGTCTGAGTACCTCTACTGTATTTGGTGTTCAACTTTACTTTTAATTGCATACTATAACATCTTGCCAGTGAAAACTTGAAAAGTCTCTTCAATGAACAAAGGCATTTAGGACCTGCGTCAATGTAGTTGTTGTCGCATGCCATCAAAGCACTGTGGTACGATTGTTCTTATTTTCTAGTGGCACTATCTATGGTCAAGAATTCAACTCCTACCACATGCACGCATCCACAGATGAATCAATATCCAACTCAGTGCCCCCAGAAGTATAAATTGTCATGGGAACATGAAGGACTTTGTGACAATACAGATTTAATGTGCACTAGTCACCATTTACAACATGGGGAGTCTTCAAGCCGCTGGATTTGAACTCCCGTTTTCACAAATGTGAGTCCAGCTCCCTAACAGCTAAGCTATTCCGGCCCCACCTGCACCAATATACTCATACATTATCAGCACACATTTGAAAATATTTAAATTTTAACTTAGTCAAAGATTTTAAGAATCTCTGCTTAAGATGTTTTTGGGCTCATGGACTTGATCTAATTTAAATAAACAATTTTAGGAATTAAAAATAAAATGTGTCTTTGATGGATAGGAAATATGCCACCAATACCAAATGTAATTCATGTAACTATTTCATTAAGGATTAATAAGATAAAAATGAACTTTATTTCAATTTTGCATTGTTCTTTTTAATTTTTAATACATACCATCATCTGTAACATAAGAAAGGAACTTTTCAGCGAAAAAAGGCAGCTTGTTCACATCTACGTTCATCACATTTTTCAGCTTTGTTTCTAAAAATATATTAAAAATAGCAGAAATGTAAGCATAGAATAAAATTTTTAAGTTAAATAAAATTTTTATGCACATAAAGTTTCTTTATAAATTTAAAGAAAGGCAAAAATAGTCACAGGGACACTAAATGATAAAAGCCAATAAGCCACAGCCAATAAAAAAATATTTTTGACAAGAATGTTTAGGAAGACCAAATTAAATTATCAAAACACAATCCTCATAATAATAATCTGCAAGTCTCTCATTAATATTTATACGTTTCATTGATGATTCTTTTTAACATTCTCAGCTTGTTGCTAAACAAACTTGTTTTAATTTTTTTTAATTAAGATCGTTAAGTTAAATTAGCTATTGACGGAAAGATGCTGTTCAAAGTGAGAGGCAGAGTTAGGGCTATTATGATTTATTTTTTTTAAGAAATTAAGTGAAAAGATGTACGTGCATTTGACCTTGATTGCACTCATACTAATTTTAAATTAATAATGCTCGAATAAGAACAATAACAACTATTATTTAGACTTCTGGATTGGATAAGAAGAAAATCCAAAGCACATTTTATGCATAAGTAATTTTTAAAAAATAAATAGTAATATCACACAACTAAAAATTAAACATACCAGATTCACTATCATATGAGTACAAATTCAAAAAAAGACTAAATGCTGACAATCCTTCAACAACAGCATTAGTTTGGGTGGGTTGACTGATCGCTTTATTGTAGGCTTTCTCTAGGACAGGAATTAAATCTAAAGCTTGGTGCAATGTGTTGCCTGAAAGAAAAAAATTATAAAATATCAACATCACATAAAAAGACATTAAAATATTTTAAATCAACACTGAATCGTCAGTAATAAAGTATGACATAATGAATATTGAGACCTCAAATATGAACTATAGCAATATTATTTTTGATAGTTTTAGTAAATTACTTCGTTATTTGCAAATAAAACTTCATTTATTTTAGGACAGAACCTTCAAAAAGATAATGATTTATGAGTATCTTTAATTAAATATAAATATATTTTTACGAGAAAACTAACTATATATATGTATTCATGAATTGAATGAAAAATTAAGAAGCTACAATTTTAAAATAAACCCGGAACTACGAAGCTTTGAGAATTAAACTGAAAAATTGACATATTAAAGGAAAGATAGTGACAAGGAAAATTTCTTCAAAATTTAACAATAAAAGAACATAATAAAGTATGTAAAAAAAAAATGGGAAACTTTCTTCTTCTTTCTCTATTATTTTTCTTTTAAGGGCCGATAAAATACAATCATTTTTGAAAATAAAATAAATAACTTAGATAATAAACCAAAAAAGATTGCTTACAAAATTTTAAATTAAAATAAATATGAAGACCTCATGGCAGAAACAACATTTACTTTGCACTGCAGAGTAAAATAATATGTCTGTTATGTTTGAGTTTTAACAGTGAGCACAAAGATATTTTTGTCAAAAGAATTATGAAGGGTGTCAGCTTTGATATGTAGTAATTACAGGTTGTGAAAGTATTAATTTCCATATCAGGAAATTTAGTTTATTATTGCCAGAATAGGAGTATTTTTCTAATTATAAGCAGAATATAGATAATGACAAAAAATATTTCAGAGATAAAAAAAAAAGAATGCTGAAAAGTTATTGAGATAGAATAGTAATAACTATGTTCAGAAATTTGGAGCTAAACTCATTGTTGTACCTCATGTGTGACATTTCCCTTTAAGATAAAAACTTGCAACAGGTAGTTGACCTGACTTATCAATTTAAGAATGCAAAAATATTTCCTTGAAAATGTAACACAATCAATATTTTTCCTCTTTTCACTGTGCTTCCGTGGAAATGATTTTTTTCATTATTATTATTTATGAAACTCAAAAACACAAAATAATTGCTTTCCTCGGTTAAAAATAAAATTTACTTTTAAAACGTATACAGACTAAATATGTAGTTTTCTGCTTTTATCTCAAAACTTATTTGCAACTGCATTTTTATTTCACCAAGACATAGACATATTATGAAGAATAATTTTTATCTTAGGATAATTATTCTTTATTTGGAAATATCGCATTTATCATCGTAAAGGAATGTATCCAGATAAAAACCTTATCACAAGATTTTCTAAACAGAGAAAGAATGGGACTGAAAGGAAAGGCAAAGCAATAGACATTCAATTATAGAAGAAAATAACTTATGTTATTTTTGACTCTATGAAAACAGGGAAAATAAAAATAAAAAATTCCATCTCAAAAAAATTAAAGAGTTAAACTCTGTTTTTTAGCATAAGACATATGCAATTTATGAAATTGCAGTTAAACCAGTAATGTAATTTTGTTCTAAGAAAAATACAAACCATGAAAAGCAGTCTTCATACAAAGAATATAGCTGTTGCGAATGGAAAATGTTGAATTCTTCTGAACTAGACAATTCTATAAAGTAAAGAAATCATTAAAGCTTCGAATTCCGTGCATATCAGAAAGCAAAATAAATAGTAAAACTCTAAATTAAATTTTATCAATTGCTTTGCATTTGTTAAAAAAGAAAAAAATTATTGACATGGATGTTTTTGAATGACGTTAAAATACAGTAAAATAAAAAAACTAGGTTATAATGACATATTTGTTTTTTAAAAAAAAGTGTCAACACATGCTAATATGTAATAAAATTTACGTAATAAAGTTTTAAAAAGAAAAATTTTAAAACTCAACATTATAATGCAATACATTACATTTACATTTTTTAATCTTTATCAAGAAGAAATTTTATAAATAATATGACCTATAGGTTTAATTATTTTTTAAATGCAAATATTTTGACATAATCCATAATCAATTAGAATTTTCATCATTAAGACTAAGATTTAAATAATAAGATTTTTTTTCAATTATAGAACCTAATATAGACTTAAATTGAAATTTAACTTTTAACAACTAAGATAATACCTTACCTGAAATAGTTCCATTACACTAGGTGGCACCTGCATGGTGAATTTCGCACACCACAGTGAAAGCATGGAAAGAGTGTGCAATATTGTACCTTCATGAACTAAAAAAAATACTTTAATTAAAAACTTGTACATATTTTAGAGGTTTAATCTTAATTTCTCATCTCTAATGTGAAAGTTAAAGATGAGGATTCAAAAGTAATAACGGTTTCATAAAACCTTCAAGCATTAAATACCTTCATGTTTAAGGAATTGTATAAAATTTTCAGCAGCCATTTCACACAGTGCTTGAATAGATGTAGAACCAGTAACAATATTATAGCTTAGATTCCCAATTCCACTTAAAACTCCAATTCTTTGTGTTACCACAGTGAGTTTGCCTTCAGAACCTAAAATAAAAATTAAGAATTAATATAATTTATTTTGGTTGACTTATACATAAGACATCTGAAAATCATTGAACTAAACTCTCTTCTTAAAACACTACTATGTAGTTTTATCTGTAGTTTTCTTCTTTAAAAAAAAATTGGGTTGCATGAAAGGAAAAAAGGAAAAATAAACTTCAACAATGTATTTTTCATTTATATTTTGTTCGATACTTAGAAGTTTACCCTAGTTAGTCATACTTATAACCTTATAATTTGCTTGCATACTTAACTACATTAGATTAACAACTAATAATTAAAATATACATAGTTAAAACAATATTTAAACAGCAAAAATAATATTTGAATGTTTTTTATAATAACAGCAGAACAAATTCTTAACAAAAACCACTTACATAAAAGGAAATAATTGCAGTATATTCCACAAAGAAGAAATCCTATGCTAACTATTTTGCAATTTTCAGGCATCGGGAATTTCTTTATAAAAATTGTTTACAAAATAAAATTCAAACTACATCACATTAAAAATGATTAAATTAAATAAATGACAATATTTTTCATTTGCCATAGGCATTATATAAGCTAGAATAAAAATTTCTTATTATGTTGATTATATTCTTAAATTTATAACTTGAAAAGTAATATTAAATTAATTGCCGGTTATTGTAATTTAATTGTGCAAAATAAATTTCAAAATTTTTATAACACCTGAAAATAAATACTTTTGAATTAATTTTTAACAACAAAAACTATGAAATTTTATATTCGATAAAGGCTTTTTTTAAAACATATTTTTTAATGACAGGTTTGCAATCGCCACTTTCTTTAAATATCCTATACAAAATTATAGCTATAAAAATATTTGGTACATAATTTAAAATTCTACTTTCTTTTGTGCTTTTGTTTAGATGTTTCAATAATTTAAAACGAATTCTGGTAATGTGTGTTCTTCATCAGAGTCACAAGATCTCCTAAACATTTAAAATTAAAATAACTACCAAATCAGAATTGCGGAATTTCTACTCAAAACTTACTTACCATTCAAAATTGCAAAATAATGTTCAACTAAATCCTTCACAGCTTGAGAGCTACTACATTGCTGAGCTAAGCATTTAGTAGCTGTCACAGCATCCTCTCTACACTGATCTTCTTTCGAATGCAAGTGAACTATAAAAAAAATGTGAATTATGAACCAAGCAGAATAGAAGGATAATATCAAAGGAAAAAAAAAGAATTGCTGAAAACTCACCACCGAGACTTTTACCAATATCCAAGGCATACTGACTCAAGTCCAATGATACGCTTGAGAGAATTTTGCAGACAGCTAAAAACAAAAAATATATATTTAAACTATGTTATGCAAACAAAATTTAAATTACAAGTAGCTAAATTAGAAAGAAATCCAATTTACTTTCAAATATTATTTCCGGGTTCCTAAGCAATGCTTTTTGCAGAGAGGGCAGAAGAATACTTTTGAAATCATCATGTGTAACTTGTCGTAAAAGTGAACTACATGATTCCTGAAATAAATATATATTGTAATGCAGTTAAGCAACTAACATAGCAATTATGAATTAAAACAAAACTGCAATGTAAAAGATTTAGAAGTGAATTTTTTACAGGTAATTAGAAAATTGTCACTTTTTAGTTTTGTAGGATATTTTTCAGGATTAAGAAACAAAACAAGATAGAAGTTTCTTACTATTCCTTAATTTCTCATTAACCTAAACTATATATAAATATATATATATTTATAATTTACGTAAGCAGCATAGCCTGAACCTGATAAAAAAAGAAATTCATCATTGAAAAGGTGATAAAAAAAAAACAATTATTTTACTTTTAAAGGAAAACAAATTCGAAAAAAATTAGCAAATTTATGTAAAATGCATTTTACATAAATATAATAAAGATTTTATTTAAATATTATTAAAAAATTTTTTAAAAGTTTAGAGTTAGTTTAACCCCTCAATCTTATTACTTTCAAGTAAACAGTCATAAAAGTGACAATTTTTTTTAAAACAAGAAACATAATTCAAACAACAATGTCGAGTATACGAAGAATATTTAACACCAATTAATATTTTGCTAACAACTGGTATAACAAGAGGATCAGAATAACAGATTTTAGCATGCAAAGCACCATATTAGAAAAATAATAATATAAAAAGCATTATAAAAATTCAACGAGAAAACATTTTGTGTGAAATACTTACTAAAATGTGGAGTTGAGGTTTGATTTTACTTCCTATAATAACTTTACAAAGCAATTGAATAGAATGCTCCTAAAAATAATAAATATGAGATTTAGATTTTTTAATAAATAAAAATACCCTAGCTTATTACAATCATGCAAATTTGCTTAATATATTTAGTAACTACTTAAAGAAAAGAAAATATGAAAATTGTAAGGTAACTAATTACTAAGGCTTTCAACCAAATATTTTATTTTAGCAAAATGGATTAAATGTAGATTCTAATGACTTGAGAACCAAATTTTTGAGCTTAAGGACATATAATATGCAAAACTTATATATTAATAAGTTTTGCATGTTATAAGTCTTCAAACTCAGACAATCTAGTTCTCAAGCCAATTATATCATTCAACATTATACATCCAAAGTAAGTTGATAAAGTGTTGCTGAAAACTAATGATAAGAAAAAAAGTTCCCTTTGTTTATTAAATTTCATTTAAAGAAACAAATTCTCAATAGAAATTAAAATAATTCAACTTTGTTAAATCAATAAAAAACCTTCATAAAAAGAATTAAAATTAATTAAAAGAGCTAAATTGATTTATATTTCCATAACCATATTTTAAGAAATAATAAAAAAAAATGTTTTGATTGAACTTCTGTGAGAGAAACATTCTTTTATTTTACTTTATGAACAGATATATCTGCCAACCTCTAAAAGTAGCAATTAGGAAGACTGAAACTCAAAAATAAGAACATTTAGAACACAACAAATTTATATTATTTTAACTTTAAAAAAAAAGGCCTTTAAATAAGGTTCTTTCAATAATTTTCCACAGGATATTTAATAGAAAAAATATTTGTAAAACAGAAATTTCCTTTGATCAATAGAGATTTTGCGGAATGAAAGCCATACTGTGAAGTTACGAACGTTATAAAGTACATTTAGCAATAGAGCTTAATCAATGCAATTAATTTAAAATAATAATATTGGAATGCATTTTTGGAAATAAAACATCAGCAAGAACTCTATTTAAAAGTAAACATACAAAACGCTATGAGCTTTAACGAACAAAATTCAAAAAGCTGCTCATATCATGGAAAATAAATATGTTCAATTTTAAATTAATTCTTTAATTGCAATCGGAAAAAAAAAATTTAAATAAAATATTCATAATTTTCCCAAAATGAATAACAATATCGTTTTTTCGATGCAGCATACATTTTAAATATTAAACGCATTTGTATTTATAACCATATAATGCAAGATGAAACACAAATTGTGTTACAATGACTTGATTAAAGATCACACACGTTGCTTGTATGTCCCAGTGTTCTCAAAACATAAGAGCAAGTAAAACAGTAGAGCTACACCAAATTTTTAAGTTACAAGGTGAATTAAATAGACACATAATACAACCTTTCAATTAACACCCATTCTGGTTATCTAAGTAAACGCTACACACTTCCTTTTTTTATTTTTTCTATGCTTGTTTGCACGGTTACAAAAGCTGTAAGATCCAGTTTGGATAGAAATAAGTGGCATTCTTCGTGCGTATGCGGTTACTCATGAAATTCATTGACTCACTTTATTTATTAATTCTCTGAAAGTGATGGAGAAAGTGCCAAAAATGCAAGAGGGAAGTATTACCCGCCATTTCTTTTTCTATCATTAAGGCAGATTAGTCAGTTTTTTTACTACACCTTTACAGGGTTGCCACTCAAATCTGAAAAAAAAAATCTCTGTGTTTTCCCTGTACAAATTATAAACGATATATTAAGAGGAAACAACAATTACTGAGCTCGTGTGTGAGCTATATTGGGCTAACTATCTATATACTAGTTTTTAATTGTTAGAAAAACAGTTGAACATACTTAAATAATGCTATAATAAATTAAATAGTTTAGTATAGCTGAAATATCATGGTTAAATATCCTTAAATTACGCTTTGAGTGGTCAATATTTTTTAAAACACAAAAGTAAGAAACAAAATTCCCTGTATTTTCCCATTTTCCAAAGAAAAAATTCAAATGCCCTGCATTTTCCCTGTTATTTTAGGTGATTTTTAAATTCCCTGCATTTTCCAGGTTTTCCCTGTTCTCCCTGTGGAGTGGCAATCCTGCTTTATTTATTAGAATTTTTATTTTTTTACGGATTTTTACTCGAATTTGTATAAAAAGAAAAAACTGTAAATAATTTTCTTAAAGCAGAGCAATTTTGGTTACTAATCGGTAAATCGTAAAAGGAGTCTGAAATAGAGAAGTCTTCTTTCAAAACAGGAAGAGTTAGCAAGTATGGATAGATAAAAGAAGAGAAATCACAAAATATATTCGTTTATTTTACTCCTTTTCAATTAACAGTATCAAAGACCATTTTTTTAAATAATTTAGTTTGATAGATTTTTAATTTTAAATGATTGGATAATTATTTCCGTTTTCAAAAAAAATCCTATTTTTAAACAGTAATAAGTGATAATAACAAGTCAAATATAACAAGTCATGCAAATATAAAAACATAAATTTGAAAATATATTTCAAATAATAAAACATTTTTTAACTAAAATAAAGTTTTACCATATGTTAAAGATATCTAGACAAAGTATGCAAACTTAAGACATTAAAAAACGAAGAAGACTACCTTAATTTGTGAAAGTGCATCTCTAAGTTTCTTTTCGACCAAAAACTTTATAAAAAAGCCAATTAGGTTCAATGAATGTTGAGTTTCAGGAAGTATCTTTAAATTAATTAAGTATGCTTCAACAATTTTTTGATTCTGAAAAAAAATAAATAAAATCTGTATAAGCTGCAAACATATCTTCCAACATTTATATAACTTAAAATTTAAACTATATATGCTTCAAACAAAATATGAAGAAATAAATGGAAATCTATAATAAATTTAAAATGAACAAGCCTTTGACTTTGTGGTCACCTTTTAAAATTATGTAGTTCAACTGATATACTTTAATTGATAACCAAGTAGAAGACACAGCAAGCACAATTGTATTTTAATATTCTAATTATGCAAACCATCCTTCACCAATCATAACACCTTTATTAGCTCTAAACAACCGCATGGCAGATTCGCGGCAATATGGCGACATTGTCACAGAATATTACCGAGTTCTTGCAGAAAGAATTTTCTTTTAGAAAGTAAAGAATTTGATTTTTCAGAAGTAGTAAAGAATTTTGGTTTTCTGCAGAAATTTTTTTATCTCTAAAATTATAATTAAAAGATGCCTTTTTCGCACATCGTGATTTTTCTGTTCTTATTTGAGAAGAATAAAAAACAAAGTAAAAAATTTCTTTTCTGCAGAAATGTTGAAAGACTTCTTCCCCTCCAGAAATCATTCTTTGATGCGCTCATTTAGCGCCAATATTCTTGTTAATCCGTGAGGTATTTCAATCGTTCTTTAAGACGCTATCGCAAGGAATTTTTGCTTTGTTTTTTCGAAATCTCGATGTCTTTCATTGCTTAGTTATTATTTATATTCTCGTGAATTTTTGAAATATACCGATATTTTTGAAATATATAGATTTTTTTTTAAACCGATTACCGAAAATTACAAATTAATTCAAATTGCATTTGATAGGGTTCACACTCAAAAGAAATTTTTCCCAGATATTTTCTAGATAGATTTTACATAAAACTCTAGAATTTTTTTTTAAATTAAAAAAAAAAATTTATTTAATAAAAATGCACATTAAAATTATGAATAAAATTGCCATTTTAAAAAAGTAATAATAAATTAATTTGGTTTTAAAAAATTTGATGATTTACATAATGTTACCTAATTAGAAATAATAGTCAGAATTATAAACAAGATAAAAAGGGAATTTACAGAAGAAAATGAGTAAAAAATGCAATATGTTTCATACCTGGTTTAGGGGGGAAAAAGAAAATGACAAAATACAAAGAAAACTTATTAATCAAATTAAATAAAAACATTAAAAAATAACCAAACTATAATTAAAAGAAGAGCTAACATAAATATTAAAAAACCCCATACAAGATAGGATATAATGAGATCAATTAAATTCTTTAGCTTAAAACTCATAAATAAGAACTAATTTATTGAATACAAAATTTATTGTAAACAGGATAAAAAAAATTTAAAAAAATTTGTGGAACCAGAGAAAGCTGCAAACTGCTTCATAAAATAATAGTCTGCTTTTAGTAATAAAATATTGTATGTCTAAGTATAAACTCATTCTAAAAGTCACAAATCACTAAACCTCTGAGGAATCAGAATTCATTCAATTAAAAAACATTTTTTTAATAGATATTAAATAATTAAGAATAGGAGACCATAAAAATACATTTTGTTCTTAATAATTAATGCATGATCCGAAATAATAAAACAGTCATAATAAATCAAGTATAACAAAAACTTAAATAAAAAAATAAAAGTGGATTTAAAAAAAATCTAACATGCCAATACTCTCAAGGCAGAAGTTTCAAGATCCTATCTCAAACATTTAACTGACAACACTCCAGAAACACTTAAGAATAGAATCTTGAGGCTACAATTAATGACGGTTGGTTCGGAAAAAAATTAATGATTTTCTCCTCTATATTGCGCAAGAGAAAATTGCAGTTGAAAACGGAAGAGTGAAATACTGCAATTTGACAGGGTGTCAAATTCCCTGACAATGTCCCTTTTCAAGGTAAATTGATGTTTTTCCCAGGCAATTTTCTGCCTTTTTTCGATTCTCCTTTTCCCTGACGATTCTCGATTTCCCGATATTCTCGGAGTGTGCCTCAATCGAGCCTCGAAAATTAAAAAGCCTCGACACTGATATAGTTTTAATTCAGACCTCCTGCAGCCAGCAGATGATTCGTGAATGGCACCCTTTAAAAGTGCATTAAGAAGAGAATGCATGCTCAATTACGGGAATAAACTAAAGACTCTCATCAGGAATTTAAGAAAGCCAACTCTGCAAGATGTGAATGGCTTCATGTTGGCCACTTGGGAGGCAGTCTCAGAAGAGACGATCTCAAACTCATTTAAGCGTTGTGGTATTTTCATTGCATTTGATGGAAACAAAGATAGGCTTTTTCATTCCCGATTAGTGTAAGTTAACGTCAGATCTATAGACATTAATACTGAACTGAATTAAAAGCATGTTGACCCTAACTTAGACGATTATTCGATATTACTTTTGATGGATTTTTGGATTCTGATTAATGAAAATAAATAAATTATCCTTCTTTTTATGAAATAGTTCCTTGCTAATTTTTTTAAAAAAACTATTTGCTTGTGCTGCGATCACATCAAGATCTAAAAAAAAAAAAGATTGCTGTAGAAGATATACTAATTAAAGCTTATATTTACTTCTTTTTGCTACAATAATTTTTCCTTTATTTTATTTATTTCATTGCAAATCCAATTTAATTATGCCCAGTCAAATATATTTTTTTCTTTTTTAAATGAAGCTTAACATTTTCTTCACTACCGTTTATCCCCTCCTTAATCACTGCGGTATTCATCAAAATAAGGGGGTGCTTTATTGATTTTAATGTTAAAAAAAATTTTCCCCGCATCAAAGCTTTAATAGGGTAAGCCACCACGTCAAACTTTAAAAGGGCAGTTAGTGTTAAAATATCTTAACTCTGAGAAATGAAAAATCTTTACAAGATATATATTATAATATTAAGGGTAATTTTGCTTTTAAAAATGTCTTTTTCTGGAATCAGATTCTTACTTTTTTCATCTAATGTGTTAAGCTATTAAGAATTATATTAATGCCATTAACTAATATTTATGAGCTTTTATTTACTTACTTTTTCATATTATTTAATAAAATATATTTTACGGAAATAAGAAATTAAATTTTAGCTTATAAAGTTTAAATTATTTTTAAAATCTTTTAAAGCATGTTTAATAGTTTATTTAGAATGTTAAATGTTTAGGTCTAAAAAATTAAATATGACAAAAAAGTTCTATAAGACAAATTGAAATTAAAAAAAAAAAAAAAAAATACTTCAAAATTTTAATTAATGACTAAATAAATGGAAAATTAGTATTTGTGTATTTTTTTGGCGGAAGTCAGAAATAGGATAGAATCTACCTCCATGGCACTCTTAAATATTCTTTTCGTATTTTATTTATTTATATTCACACATTCACAATTTTTTTTTTTTTCTTTAATGGAATACAATGCATAAAGAATGAAAACACTGTCACATGATAATTATTATGAAATAAAGTTACCTGTTTCCATAAGTTTGTTGCACATGCATAAATTTTACAGTTCAAAAATTTGCTTTGAGCACCTGTTACACAAAATAATAATACAGCTTGACTTTGAAGCTAAAAAAAAAAGAGAAAAAAGAACAATAAAATGAAACATTATATAACTAAAGTAGAATCTAAATAAGTAATTTACAAAAAAAAGTAAAATATTACAATAATCTTAAGGAGCAGTTTTGTTAGAAATACAAAAAATTATAAATACAATAAAAGACACAAGTTAAAGAAAACTATCAAAACATTTACTTACTGCGTACATATCATCACAACATAAAAACGAATGAATTTGAATTCTATCTCACTAATTAAATTTCTGACAATGTTTAAGTATAAAAAATAAATAATTTAAATAAAAGCTAAAAATTATTTTTAAAAAAAACTATTTATAGAAAGAGAAAAAGCTAAAAATATTATGTATTTAAATTTTTTTAAAGAAAGAAAAGAAAAAAAAGAGTGCATGCAACATAAATTTTTCTTTTACCTTTAAAATCATCATATACATTGTACTATGAAATATCATATAAAATTAACAGTACTTTGTGCTTTAATTTGAGGCAACTCAATGCTGTTCGAAAAACAGTAAAGGTTAATTAAGTTACTGACTTCAAAACTTTGTTACTCTAGGAAGCCAAATTGTATTTTCCAACAACCCTTACACAAAAGAAAGGTAAGTTATGGTAGTCAATAAGAAAAGATAGAAACAATTTAATTAAGAAATAAAAATAGAACATAATCAAACAATAACAATGATTTTATAATATTTTAGTCTGGCTATCAGTCCAAGAGAAAAGTGCAAAATCAGTTTTTCAATGTCACTAGATAGAGAAAAAATTATTTCAAATTTGTCTCTTAACAGTCAGAAGATGAAAGAAAATATAAATTAATTGTACAAATAGTATTGTAATTGTAAAAACTTATAATGCAATTATTAAATATTTTGATTCAATTATGAAAAATTTAACTAAACCAAAATACATACAAGGGTTTGGAAATCCTCCTTTTCATTTTCGATATTGAAATATGCATTGGCCACATGGCAGGACCAGCCAAATGCTGCATAACAGATATGTGCAACTCCTTTCCTAAAAATAAAAAAATATATAAGCACATTCAGTAATCGGCAAATCTAAAGTAAAAAACGTGAATAATACACAAATGAAACTACATAAATTCATATACTATAGTTTCAATTCTAAAAACAAGAACCTTCATCCGTGTCTAAACGTTAAATGAAGGTAGAGAAGTAAGGAGACAAACACATGTAAAGTGGTTCAACCATAGGGACAGAGGAACAAGTTTCAACAAGGAAATAACAATGGGGAGAAACAAGTGTAAAGGGATTTGGCAAGCAGCAGGTTAAATTAAAATGAACTTTTAAATATTGAGAAACAGTTTAATACTCGAATGATCAATAACTAAATTAGAATTTTTTTTAAATAATGTAATGACACTCAAAACTAAAGTTTGGAAGGTGAAGAGCAATGTTGAATGGTTTTAGTAGAAGAAAAATCAAATCCGTGATTTGAATTCCAACTGTGTATAGCAATAGAAAACTGGTTAATATCTTTATTTTGGACGTATCTCTCGTGTTCTTAGGTCCAAGTTTAAACTTACAACTCAACCACTAACTTTCCACTAAACTTCTTTACTTCTCTACCTTCATTTGACATTTAGATGCTGCTGAAATATCTTGTTTACAGAACTGAAATTATAGTACGTCAATTTATGTACTTTGCACAGTATGTACGTATGTACTTTATAAGTATGTCAATTATATAATTTTTTGTGCTTTATGTTTTTTTTTTTTTTTTTTTTTTTTTTNTTTTTTTTTTTTTTTTTTTTTTTTTTTTTTTTTTTTTTTTTTTTTTTTTTTGCTTTAGTCAACATTTTACTTAAAACTATGTGATCTGCCGACAAAGCAATTCGCCAACGTTTTCTAAGTAGTTACAAGATAAATAATTTCTTCTAAAAATTCCTACATTTTTGAACACAGATTAAAGGTTGAATTACCTTATTCTATACGTAGACAGTGAGGTAGATAATGTGTGGATGAGGAAAAAATGATACCAATCCAATTAAATATTGCTAATTTTTTTGTAGGAAATAGAAAAAACAATGTTATAAAAAAACTGCTTGAATAAATCTGTTCTAAGTAGTTTTTGATACGACATTAAAAAGGGTATTTCGGTAAAATTATGGAGAGAAAAAATTTCTGAAAAACAATATTTTTTGTTCCTTTATGGCAAATGTAATTAATAGGTGTTAATTAGCAATTTAAAAAATGTAGAGAGTCAATTGTTCAAAATAATGTTATCTATATACAAAAACAACTTACGTGCAGTACAAATCTTTATAAGTGTCTGCTACATCTTTAATAGTTTTGATTAGGTATGGTACACTTGTGGGTTGAGTATTCACCAACAATTTGACGAAATTTTCAACGAGTGTTGTAGATTTTCTGTCTGAATAACGAGGAAGAGTGATTTGTAACAACTTACAAATTGATTTAAATGTCTGTGGCTGAGCATCTACAAAGAGAAAGAAAACTATTAATTGAAGATCTCCATATTCAATTAGAGTGCTTAATCAACTACTCATCTAAAGCTATTATATGATGAATAACCAGGGGTCTGTCCAGGCCGAATTTACTACCGTTTAGCGGTACCTTCACAAATTCAATTTTAGGTAAAACGGTAGTTTCACAAATTCAACTTTAGGAAAAACGGTATTTTCACAAAATACTTTTTCTTAAAATTTTATTTTTGTCTCCCTTAAAAAACAATAAATCTATATTTTTACCATGTTTAGTGTTGACTTTTTAATATAATTTTTAATTTTTCACAAATTATGTCAAAATTTTCACAAAATAGGAACTTTTAAGAAAAACCTAGACAGACCCCTGATAACATAACACATAATAATATAAGAAAAAACCAGTCAAAAGAAAGAATTTGAGACAATAGTAGAGTTGCGGTTTTAACCAGACCAAAAATAGTCTATGATTTTTTGTTTTTGGTTTAAGCAGCTTAAAAAAGACAGGCTAAAGCTTTAAAAAAAGGAGTTTTTATTATAACTAATATTTTTCTGATAATTGTCATGATTGATATATATATTATTATGTACTATAGATATATCCAGGGCATCGGCTACATTTTAGATTTTCAAATTCATGATTTTTCATGACTTAACGAAGTTACTATTTTCTACACAACAAGAAATCAAAAAAAGCATTATAATAACATAAATTGAAATGATCGGTATAACTGTTATACTCTGCATCATCATATTTAAAGATTTTAAATTTAAAAAAACAGAGTAAAGAAAGAGTTAAAGCAATAAAATAGCTGATAAAAATACAAAAGCAAAAAATTTTTTTCTGCAGAATTATATTCTAAAGATACTTTTCTTGTTTATCCAGAAGGAAAGAAATACTCCAGATATTTTTGTTCTCATTTCGGAATTAAAAAAATTCGCTAATGACTGCCTTGCTTCAGCTAGAATTTTAAACTGTTAAAATAAAAAATAATAAAAAAAAATTCTGAAATCACAGAAGTATAAAAGATAATACGCTCTAGAAATGATGTTTTATCTTTTATTTTTTGAAAAAACACCATAACTTTTAAAGAACATGATAAAAACCTTTTATATTTTCATAAAATATGACTGAGTGGGGATTTTATTACAAATTCAGATATCCAGAACACCATGAAATGGGGGGGGGGGGTATTTTTAAATTCCATTTCTAAAATTAGATTTTTCAGCGACCTAAATACATGACCTTCCATGATTTTCCTTTTAAAAAATAGTTAAAATCATGACAAATTTTGTTCAATACCGAAATTCATGAATTTCCAGGTGTGTGGATACCCTGTATATCTTATCAGATATTTGTTGGTAAATGTAAAAAAAATATGATTCAAATCAATTGCAGACACTTATTTTTATTTTTATTAAAAACCTTGATTTTTACCAACTTAGCTTTTGACACAATCTGAAGTAACAGCTTTAACCTTTTTTTACAATCATTTAAAATAATAAACTACTTGGAACAATTAGAAATTACTTTTTCAATGCAGCATAAGTATATGAATAATACAAAATTAACTATAATTACCAATCGTCAAACTTTTTAAACTAAATATATTAATTATTTCAAAGAAATCATGAACATTTTTACAGAAAATACCAAACTTTTGAATGATTAAGCTTAATTTTTTAAAAAAAAAATTGACTGTAATTGATATAAAGCACAATTGGGATGAATTAGAACATGATTGAAATAGGTTTAAAACAACTTTGGGCTGTTTATTCAATTTAAATTAATTCAATAAAAAATCTTTAAATAATAATATTTAATAGAAAGGCTTATTGATATTACATCTATATAAAATAAAATTATCCAGTTATAATTTTTTTTTTTTTTAAATTCTTGGCTTCAAAAAATTTTTTATCTAAATTATAGTTCTTCCTTAAAACTGACCAAACCCGAAAAAAATAAATCAAATGTTAAAACTAGTCTGCAAAATACTTTGAGCATTTAATCTACTTTTTGATTTCTATACTGAAAAGATAATTTTATTTACATAGATAAACACTCATGTAATTATAGAAAATATAAAATTAAAGAGAAGACTTATTTTCCAGTACATGATCCAAAATAATCACACTTCAAGGCATATAACAAAATATGAATAAAACCTCACAGAATTCGGCAAACTGAAGAAGAAAAACTCATATCCATCCCCAGGCAAGCCAATAGGTACATGTATTTTTTTAAATTTAATCCTAGTTAAAAAAACTGGTTATTTTATTTGATGCCATGGCTCAATTTATGGGAACAGTTTTCGGTGAGAAATAACCCAAATAAAAGTAAGATAGCCCATAAACACTTAAGAAGAACAATATTAAATCTTTCAATCATACATTTGTTTGAGATGTGAGTATTGGTTACATCAATTGTATATAGATTCTCGGACTTTTTAATTTCATAAAAATTTTCCAAAAAACACAATATTGAGAGCTTAGTTTTCATGCTGTACTTTTCTCTAAAGTTAAAAAATTTTGTCATATATTATTATATCGAATCAATCTGTCTTGACAGGTGTCAAATCAATCTAGTAATCAATTTAAAAATAGTTCAAAGTTATAAGACATGGCAACAGTATATTGAATGGAATAAATACTAAAATAAATAAGGTAAAATAATCAAAGTAAATAATATTAGAAACATTGAATGTAAGACATACAAAAACATTTAATTTATACTGTAACACTCTAAAGCCAGTTAAAAAAAAAAAAATTATTATCTACATAGAGGCAGGTATTTAAGAAATTTCAAAATTGTTTAATAGGAAATAAAAAATAAAGATAAGTAATTACTTTTCCTAGTTATCTCATCTAAGTGCTGAAATACTTGTTTACGTACTGATAGTCGTCCAGATTGAATTGCATAGGGGATATCTTTTAAAGTCTGAAAAAAACCAAAACATGTAACATTAGAGTATTATGCATTTACTATATATCTAAAATGTATAATCCTTAAAATTTAAAAACAAATTACTTGAGATTCAGCCATGCCAAAAATTTTCGGTATCTTCTTGAAACAGGGGAAAACGTAAACTTGCCGACGATTACAAATTCAGTTAGTAAAAACAGCTTGGTCGATAGCTTGCGAAATTAATAATGCTAATGTGAACCCGTCTTATTTCTGATCACGATGCTTGAATGCGCTATCTAGGGAGAATATAGGTTCCATGTTTTTATCCTTCCATTTTCTTCTCCTTTGTTCAGTTGTAAAGGAATATATATAAGTAGCATATAAGTCTTAATGAGAGACACCTCCTGGTCTAAACCTATCATTCCTTATTAAATGGAATCGTCAATTATTTAGAAATTTCATAAAAACCATAAAAATGTTATTAAGCTATAAAATTCAGATTGTTCTATGATTTACACAAATGTAACTTTACATGTAAATAAATAAGATAATCATAGATCTTTATTTGAAGTAAATTAAAAATCAGAATTACAAATAAATAAAGTTTTATTCCTCCAAAAATTAAATAAATTAAAAATTAGTTTTGTACTTACCGAAATGTATTTAAAATATTCTATTACACAAGTTTGTTCAAAATTTGCAGATACATAGTTTTACCATAAGAGCAAAATTAAACTTATCTTAACAACTCCACGGTATGAGAAAATGATAGAAATTTTCAATCTACAGTAATTCAATATTCTTTTAAATTACTTCTCTGTCAGAACAATTAAGAATTTGACATATCCGAAATTTAAATTTAAGGAAGGGTTTAATGACACGTCAAATTCAACAATAGTAATGCTTCATCAAACCCTTTAAAACATTTGCATTGTCTGTTAATTTTTTCAGACTGTGCCCCCTAGTTGATACATTTCGCAGTTTTCTCAGCTGTGCTCTCTTATAGTTTATAGTTTTTGCAATTAATTTCAGAAAAGAAATTCATTGTTTCCAAAGCAGAACTCAGTCAACTAGCTATTTCTATCCTATTCAATTTTCGTAATTTGAAATACCTCGTGTGCTAACTAATTAGCACACTTTACATTAGGCCTTCGAATTTTAGCACTTGAGCATCCTAACTCAGCGCGAAAATGTTATCATTAGATCAAAAGCAATTTAATGTTTGTTGTTTTTTGCGCACTTCTAAATTTTGAAACTATATATAACAAAAATCTTTAGAAATGAAAGTTTCAATGAAAATTATCACACTGCTGCGCGCTCACTCCTTTTGAAATTATGGGGATCTAAGATTTTTAAGGAATTTTTTTATGAAAAATTAAAAGATGCAAACGGATTAAAATATTTTTTTCTAATTGTTTGAACCAAACTAATCAATGACTAATAAAAATCAATGGCATGATGACAACTGCCGTTGGTCCATTTCACATTGAATAAATCTATGTTAATAAAAACTTTATTGTTTTATAATATGGTCTAAATATATACTAAATTTAGTTATAAACTAATAGGAGTTTTTTTTTTTTTTTTTTTTTTTTTTTTTTTTTTTTTTTTTTTTTTTTTTTTTNTTTTGTTTTTTTTTTTTTTTTTTTGTAAAATCATTCAGCCCAGATAGTGAGTTTTTTTTTATTTTAAAGTCATTAAATTGTGTTAAGACTGTTAAGACCACAAACTATTTTTTAATAAATAAAAAATAGTTTGTGGATGAAAAAAACAGCATTAAAAGTTATCTTGAAAATGCAAAAAATAACAGGGCTGCCAACATTCTACGCTTATTGCAATAATTTTTATTTTATTGGTAGCTATGTTCATGTTTAAATTCATGATTTTTTTTGTTTCGTAAATTTGATTTAAAGTTATTTTTCCACGACTCAATGTAAATTATTCTGAAGTTAATATTAAACGTTACTTTGTTCCGACTTCCTCGTATTGAAGCTTTTAAATGTTGGTGAATTTACCAAAGTTTCTGAGAGTTTTAGTTTTTAGTTACCAATGAATGTATAAAATATTTGCAAAAAGAGTGGTAGTGAACAGCCCTAAAATTATAGCTGGCAGCATGTCTTTCCTTGTCCTCGGATTTATGACCAAGATAATAAGGATTGTTGTTGGTATAAGAGCATTGTTGTCAATATTTTTAGCAACAATGTAACAGCTTTCAATTTTTTGAAACTCTTTTTGATAAAGTGTAACAATTAAAGGCATTGATTGTTAGCAATTTTTCTTTCCAATTCCATACTTTTCAAATCATTGCCATAAATAATTTCCCGTTTCAAACTGCAAAAACTAGCTTAAAGCAATCCTAATTATGAAGAACTTCTTCAGAACTGTCTTTTCCAGATTATAAGTAATATATCATTTATTTTATAAGTCGTAATTTCAAATTTTCAACATTGTGGCATTTTAAAATTTTGTACCATTATGGCACTATTATATATCTTAATAAAATGGCACCATTAATGTTATGTTCCAAAACCATTTCTTGAGTGATATTTAAATAACCTGTAAAATTCATATGTATATTGAAGTCCAAGCTTTAAAAGCGATCTCATATGAAATGTCGTAGAAGCAGGCATTTACTTTAGGCTATCGGTCTGGAAAACATTCCTGAGAATGATTCGGAAACTTGCATTCTTAGTTTGATCCTCTGTAGAGGGGTTGGTTCTCCCGGTTCGGCAGCCCGACGACCTGGGGGCAGAATCGAACACTTAGAACAGTTTAACAAGGGCCGATACTTTTAATATTTTTGTAAGATGATCAAAATTATCACCTACCATCAGCTCATTGACCACTGCCAGAGATACTTGACTTCATTGATCTACTGGAACTCACGTCTTACTGTCACTCCAGTATAGAACTCGTCAGGCCTGAAAGTGAGACGGAAAGGAGAAAAAACTAGTAGTAAAACCATTTCAATAATAGATGGTTTTCGTGAGGAGTAAATCTATTGTTAACAGTAAACTATTCATTGCTATTAATTTATTCTCGGGAAAGAAGCAGTCACAAATATGCTTTATACGATTTAAAAATTATTTGTATTCATGGAATTTATTCTTCCCGAAAACTAGCTAAAAATAAAGTTTCTTTGCTACCAGTTTTTACTCTTTTCCGTCTTGATATATAGGGACTTTCAGACCTGGGACTCATATGAAATGGATGGTGAAGAACTTAGCACTCCTGCACATTAGGTGTAATTTGTAGAACAAATAACGTGTCCGTCATAGTGTATCAAAATACAAATATCTCGTTTGCGCGAGCACTAAAATACACGTTTGCTCTGACTGAGCATTTTATGATAGAACAGTTCAACGAGAGGCGATACCTTGTACCCTCGATCTCTTTGTAAGGCTAGTCAAAATTATCACCGACGAATAGGACTGGGCGATATTAGAAATTATATATCGTGATGCATCGTCAGTTTTGCATCGCGATATAGTATTTTTGAATTTCACTTACTTGTAAGGCACAGAAAGTCAGATTTCTATCAAAACTTCATACTCAGATTGATTTAAATCAATTTATAAATTTGAAGATATATATGTTTTGCTTAAGAAAGATATTAAATAAATTGACTACAATGTACAAATCTTACTTAAAATATTTATTGAAATGCTTGTTTAGAAATTCATAATACGCGTAAAACAAAATGTTAAAAACTTTTTTTAAAGCGTTTTTTACAAATTAATATTTTCTTGTACTATTATGCATAAATAATTA